ATATTATTTGTAACTTTGCGTAAACTTTTGTTTATAAATCTTTGTTTGTTAGTAACTATTTGTACTAATTATTATTGTAAATTGTATTGTTGTGGGTATATTAAAACGTATTTGTGTTAAAAACGAAAACGGTATGTATCAATCTTATTGGCAAATATCGTAAATGGACTAATATATCGGCATATATTTAAATACTAAATCCAAAGTACAAATTCTAATACGTAAAAATATGCAAGTAAATCTGACGAAATCTTGTCGATTTGGGAGACTGGGCGACTTTTGCAACTAATGGAGCAAATAACTTGTATTCAGAAATCAGAAGTTCACAGGTGACGTCGCCCACATAAAAACTGCCAAGGCTTGCACCTTAAGGATATTATCGTAATTTTAAAGTTTTAATGTGAATTTTAAAATTATTATTTGAAATGAGGCTGGATGGAATTAACGTAGCAGTCTATGTCAGTAAATTAGAAATTCGCAATGCAACCGAGGCAGATTTAAAAGTATATTGTTTCCGCCTTTAAATTAAGAACAGTCCAAAATAAGTTACGGATCTCAAGTCCCGCATAAAATAAGAATTTCAATCAGTGGATATCAAGACCCGCATCACGTTTTCAGAAAATCGAATGCCTAGAGCATTCAGCAACAAATCTAATCCTTCCTAAATCCTAAGTCATTAACAATCTTTGACAGCTAATATGATTTGAGTTTTATAACGTGAATTCAATGTACAAGCATCCTTTCTAGTTCTAAGTTCTGAGTCAGGATATTGCCTGCTGTTTTTTTTTCAGCTATCGCAAAATTCTGGTCTAAGGTTCCTTATTTCTCATGCTACCAAGTTTTGGAACTGTGTCCCGGAGCCCTATGGCTCAACGCCACTACTGTCGAAATTGGGAGAGGAAAATATCTACATGATAAACAGCTAGTTCTCTTAAATATTACTTTTGGAGTAACAAACCATCTTGTGTAGATTTTTAATTTCTGGAAAGAAAAGAAACCGTCTTCAAAGTTTTTTCCTGATAAATGTAAAGTACCTTAATTAACTTAGTTTTAGAATGAATGAATGTCAAAAGTTATTTTTTGTAGAACCAGCAAGTTGCGATAGCTTGGTTATTAGCTTTAGAGGAGATTGGCTTATCTGACGGTTGAAAGAGCAAATACTGTAAAACAAAACTCTATGACAGGTTTTACTGTAGTTCTGGTAAGCATCATGCAGCCCTCTCTATTCATAAATTCTTGATCAGTATCAAATTACTGAAATTTATGTTAATTATCTATATAAAACGATAATGTTTATTGTTAAACAAAGCTACACTATTGGTTGTCCGTGCTCTGTCCTCCACGGTCCCGATTTTTAGCGTTATAAGTCCTAAAATTTACCTGTTAGTCACCGGGGGGGGGGGGTTCTAATCTTCTTTATATAGATTTCCAAGATAATTTTCAAACAATAATAATAATGTTCCAGTTTTTTTGTGACTAAAACATTAAACATTTTATTGTTATAAACTCTTTTTATAATTTATTTTGTATTAATATTATGTTATTCAGTTCTTAATAAACCTTGCCCGTGTCGCAGCATGAAGGCTTACAGCTACATATACGTAAAACACATATCATAAATATATAACGTTATATATAGTAAGTAGCGAAGTCTATGAAAAGCACTCAAAAATATATATATACATACAGAGGGAGAGTTAGAGCACATAATGTTTTGTTAGACATCTATTCAGTCGGTAATACAGCAAGTATGAAATAAATTAAATATTAGAAAGAGCTATGTTATTTAAATTCACATATGTTTTTTTTATCGGTTGTACATAGTAAAACTTTTGTTTATTTTGTTCACAACGTTTCACCAGGTTTACCTGACACCATAACGTGAGATACAAGAACGAATTATTGTTTAGTATTTGGTATTTTCAATTTTATACGATACATTGGCTAAGCGGTCAGGTCAGGCAATTCGTAGTCTATTATTCTTGTACTAACATAACTTTCAGTTTGAATTCTTTATTGAAGAAGACAAAAAGTGCCATTCTTTAATCGTTGTCCTTTATCGGTGTTTCCACAAAATTGCCTCCCCCTCCCAGTGGCTCAGTGGTAAGTCATAAAAATTAACTAGGTTTCGATACGCAGTGGGCACAACATAACCTATTGTGTAGCTTTATGCTTAATAACAACAACAAATCGAAAAACTAGCTGTGTTCGATAAATATTAAAATAAGCTTAAACAGATAATATTTTTAATTTTGAACCCATGTGTACTGAAGTAATGAACAGTACATTTTCTTTTTCCACAATTTTGCCATAAAACTTCTTAATAAGTACCATTTTTAGTATAGCTCTCACAAAACATAAATGTGGTTGTATTAAATTATATTTATTCTTCTGAGATTTCACCAAGAAACTAATTATTGAATGTTTATGATGAGCAATTCATACTTACGTAAAATAATGATAGTTAGCACTGTCCCAGAAGCACCAAAAGCCACGAGAAACCGGAGGATGTTAAACATCAGAAAGGATGTTGAAAACGCACAAGCAAACCCTGAGGCAAGAAAGATGATACCACCAAATAGGATGATAGGTCGACGTCCATATCTATGGGGAATATACCTTCTTCATTATGTATTCTATTAAGATAAATGCCACTGTTATTTAAAGCGAATGCCTGCAGTTGTTTAATAACAGTTTATTTGTTGATCTATAGATATTTCATTATGATATCCATCAGATCATAGCTGAATTCTAAAACGACTAAACATATAGCAGAAACACTCTCCTTGTATCAACTCTTTCACTGTTGTACATTTTCAAAAATATTTGAAATATGATAAATCAGTGCAAATACAATCAAGTATAAAAAATCAACGACCATATCAGACTAATACTATAAGAAGAACAAAAAGAACAGTAAACAAATTTCAAGTTTAAAATTGTTTAAATGAGAAATGACTAATATAAAATGAGAGAATGGTAAATGTATATGTCGGTACAGGAAGAACACAACGGACCCAAACTAGTGTTAGTTCTCATTCTTCTATTTCTCTTCATTTCAGAAGTTTGGCTTTCTACAGAATTTGAGGCTTTCAAAATATTAATGTTGGAAACGTTAAACGATTCATCAATTAGTCAAAATGAAAATATCCATGATGAACCACAAACGGAAAGATTTTATAAATCTTTCTGTTTCCTCAAGTATCTTTGTGACCACATTCAATATAATATAAAATGTCACCTTTTTCCGTATTGCTGAATAAAGTTGAAGTAATTTAAATGATAAAAGCAAAGTAGCTGAATCTCGATTTGCTAGACTTGAACACAAATTATTGTTCTTTTTTTTAATTTTGTAAAACTATTTCATTTCTGTGGCTTACCATGTAAATGATCCTACAGTAATGGTGACAATAAAGATTTTGGAAACCTCATAGAAAACAAGTACAAGCTAGTAAAGTCTAAAGTAAAATATGTAATTTAATAGCATATTTTTAAGTTTAATTCATCACAACAGAAATATTTTCCTTTTTTTTGAAAGAAGGATTTTCTGTAAGAACGCGGCATTAGTTACATAAATTCTATCAATTTATTTGACTGTCTTTCTCTATATATTTTACAGAGTTCTGTAAACATTTGTATAGATAACTTATCAAACAATATAAAAGCGTGACATACCTATCAGAAAGTTGACCAGAAATAAAGACAGAAGTCATAAAACCCCCCATATAAAGAGACGTACTCATGGAGGGCAGCCAATCGTTTTCACAGACGAGGTCCCACTGAAATAAAAAACACATTCGTTTTTTGATAAAATAAGTTAGGCATAATTAAAAGAAATGGAGAAGACTCGTTATATTCTCATATGAATCTGTTTGTGTAATAATAATTTACGCCCATTCACTCGAGAAAAAAAGTCCATGTTATAGAGTGTACAAGCTACTATCCGTGACTTGTGATTATTGTAGTGTATATTAGCTACTAGCCATGAGTTGCTTTGTTATAAAGTGTACTAGTTACTAACCATGACTTAAATTTGTTACAAAGCGTGTTGAGAACTAGCCATGACTTACCTTCTAATTGTGTTCAACTTGATATTCTGCTTTATAAATTCTCATGACAACAAAATACTCACATCACAGCTATATTATTTATTATTTAATAATAATAATCTTATTTGCCCTTTAATTTAGGCAAAATGAAGGGTCATTTTTTCTTTAAAAAATCAGATTTCGAAAAGCAATTACAACAATTGAAAAATAATGGATTTAATAACAATACATACTTTCAAAGAAGACTCTGGTGTAACATAAAATGTCACCACTTTCCATACTGCTAAGTAAACTTGAAGAGATTTGAAGGAGTAAGTTATCCAATTTTATTGGTAGTTACACATTAAAACAATCAGTAATTGTATCATACGAAATAAGAACATCAAGAATTTAACTGATAAAATAGTGTAAAGATATTGTATCTTAAGAAAACAGTTCCTTAAGAATATACCTGATAACAGTTTATTCAGTGACTGTACGTTAAAAATCAAGTACTTTAAAAATATCTTGATGACAAAACATTGAGGAAATGCATCTTTATGAAAGCTACAATTAAAATGACCCTAATGACAAAGAAATTAGTAACTGAATCTTGAAAAAAAGTACCTTAAGAAGGAACATGATGACACTGAATTCAGTAACTGTATCTCACGAAAACATTGTCTTAATAATGAAACTGATGATACTGCATTAAGTAGCTGTATTTTAAGAAAAAAATTACTTTACGACTACATCTACTGAAAAAAAAGCATTTTAAGAATGAAAATTATGATATTGCATTCAGTAACTGAATCTTAAGAAAATAGTGCCTTAAAAATTATACTGATGACAGTGCATTTAATAAATGTATCTCAATAAAGCATATCTTAAAACGAACCTGACGAGAGTGAAATGTGTAACAGTATCCAAAGTAAATTTTTCCTTAAGAAGAAAACTGACGACAGTGCATTAAGTGACTATATCTTAAGATAATTCTTACTTAAGAATAAACCTGATGACAGTATATTTTATTCAGTTAGTATATCTTAAGAAACAAGTACCATTAAAATGAATCTCATACCAATGAAATCAGAAAGCGAATCCTAAAAATCTGTACCTTAAAAATGAGATCAAAACCGTGCATTCAGTAGCTGTATCTTAATTAAAAGGTGTCAAGTGAATGAACATGATGTCTTCAGTACCCGTATCTTAAGTAAATAACATTGAAAGGTAAATCTGATAACAGACCATCTCACAGCTTATCTTAAAAAAAAATGACTTTAAAAATAAACCTGATAACGCATTAAGTATATGTTTCTTAAGACTAACGCACTGTAGGAATGAAAATGATATCAGATCTATCAGTAACCACATACTTAGAAAAAAGGTAACTTACGAATGAACGTAATTTTAATTAAGTAATTGTATATTAGGGGGAAAAAAGACCCGTAAGAAAGAACCTGTTAACAGTGCATCCAGTAACTGTATCTCAAAAACAATTACATTAAGAATCGAACCAGTGGCAATGCTTCAAGTAACCGTATCTTAAGTAAAAAGAATGAAAATGACGACGTATTCAGCAAATGTATCTTAAGAAAAACTTACATTACAATTAAGATGATGACATTGCTTTCAATAACTGTACCTTAGAAAAACATGAAAAAGAAAACCTTAAAATGAAAGTGATATTAATATATTCAGTAATTATATCTTAAAGAAAATGTATCTTAAGAGTGAACCTTATGACATTGCACACAGTAACTGTATATAAACAATGAAGTACTTTAAGAGTGAACGTGGTGACAGTGCATTGAATATTTATATACTAAAAAAAAAAAAAACGAACGTTGCGAATGAGCCTGATGACATTGAATTAAGTAACGGTATCTTACGAAAAGAAATTACATTAAGGATGGATTGATAATATGTAGTTCAGCAACTGTATAAGTAATACAGTAACTATACCTTAAAAATAAAACATCTTAAACGTTAACCTGATGACAATGTATTTAGTGAATGTATTTTCATAAAAAGTATCTTAACATGAACCTGATGACAGAGAAGTTAGTGCTGTATCTTAAGACAAATTTACCTTAAAAAGAAACCCGATGACGGTGCATACAGTAGCTTTCTTAGAAAACAGTACCTTAAGAATCAACCTGATGAAAGTGAAATCAATAACTGTATCTTACAAAAATAAATATCTCAAGAATGAAACTGATAATAGAGGATTCAGTAACTGTACTTTAACAATAATGTACTTATAAATGAATAACACGACAATGCATTAAATTAGTGAATCTTAAGAAAGAAGTACAATCAAAATGAACCTGATGAAAGTGAAATCAATAACTGTATCTTACAAAAAATAGTATCTTAAGAATGAATCCGATGTCACTGTACTCAGTTACTGTATCTTAAGAAAAAAGTTCACTAAAATAACTTCATGACAGTACTGTTAGCAACTGCATCTAAAGAAAAGGGTACCTTAAGAATGAAACTAGCGACAGTGCGTTAATTACCCGTATCTTAATATAAAAGTATATTAAGAATGAAAGTGATGAAATTCCATTCAGTAACTACATATATACTTTAAGAATGAAGTACCTTAAAAATTAAGCTCTCTCCTGTGCCCACCGCGGGGATATTGATAACTACATTAAGTAATTATATATTAAGAAAAGATACCTTAAACATTTATCTTATGACAGTGCTTCCTGTAACGAAATTTTAAGAATAACTTACCTTAAGAATTAACTGGATGATTACTCATTCAGGAATTGTATTTGACGAAAAAGTCACCTTCGGAACGAAACAGATGACGGGGTATCCAGTAATGTTTTTTATGAACAAAGTACTTTAAGAACGAATATAATGACGGTACATTGAGTAACACTATCTTTAGAAAATGTAACTTACGAAAGAACCTGATGACGGTATATTTTGTAACTGTACCTTTCGAATATAGTATCTTAATTCATTAACTGTATCTTATATTTTACTAAAATACTACCTTAACAATGGTACTAATAACATAGCACCCAGTAACTGCACATAAGTAAAATAGACCTTTAGAATGAATCCTATGATATTGCATTCTATTCTGTAACTAAGTTAAGAATAAGGCACATTAAAAACGAACCTGATGATATTGCATTCAATAAGTACATCTTAAAAAAAGAACCTTAGTGCCTTAAAATGAACCTGACGACAGTGCATTTAGTAACTGTATCTCAAGAAAGGAATACATTTAGAATGAACTGATATCAACGGGTTTAGTAAACGAATCTTAAGGAAAAAATAAAGCATCTTAAAAATGAAAGTGATGCACCCAGTGACAATATCTCAAGAAAAAAGAACCTTAGGAATGAATCTAATGATATTGCTTTCAGTAGCTTTACATTAAGTATAAAGAACCTGTTTATAGGGCATTCAGCAAATGTATTTTCAGAAAATATACCCTAAAATGAACTTCATGACTGTAAAGTTATTTGTATCTTAAGGTAAATTTACCTTTTGAATGAACCTGATGACAGGGCATTTACTAACTGTATATTAAGAAAAGGTCCCTTACAAATATACCTGATCAGAGAGTATTCAAAAAACATCTTAAGATTGAAAATGATGATAGTGCATTCAGTAACCGTATCTCAAGAGTGTGTTTGTTTTTAAAGCAAGTGCACAGTGAGCTATCTCCTGTGTCTACCGCGAGGAATCGAACCCTGGATTTTAGCATTGTAAGTCCTTAGACTCTGTTCCACTGTGGGATATTTCAGAAGAAATATATGTTATAAATGAAACTGATCACTGTGCATTAAGTACTTTAAAGATACTTTAAGAATGAACCTGATGGTAGTTTATTCAGTAACTGTATCTTAAGGACGAAAAGGACGACAGTGCAATCCAGTAAGTGCATCTTGAGATAAATATACCTTGAAAATGAAACTGATGATATTGCATTCAGTAACTGTATCTTAAGAGAAAAGAACCTTAAACACAAACCTCATGACAGTGCATTCAGAAACTGTATCATAAGAAAAAGTACCTTAAAATAAACTAGGTGACAGTTTAATCAATAACAAACTGTATCTTAAGAAAATTGTACCACAAGAATGAACCAGATGACAATGCATTCAGTAACTTTATCATGAGGAAGAAACTAATTATAATACATTGACTAATCATTAAAGAATTTGATCTTGACCCTCACTTCAACATGGCATCTTCCAATGAGCAAAGTTATGTTGGAAAAGAAAATGCCGTTCTCCACTGGGTGCTGAGATATTGGTTAAACCCTTATAAGTCGAGCCTACTAGTGACGGGACAAGTCATGACATGCAGAAAATGCCGTTTTCCACTGGCTGCTGAGATATTGGTTAAACCCTTATAAGTCGAGCCTACTAGTGACGGGACAAGTCATGACATGCAGAAAATGCCGTTCTCCACTGGGTGCTGAGATATTGGTTGAACCCTTATAAGTCGAGCCTACTAGTGACGGGACAAGTCATGACATGCAGAATATGACGTTCTCCACTGGGTGCTGAGATATTGGTTAAACCCTTATAAGCTGAGACATGCTTGATTGTGCAATTCATGCAAAGGTTACTTCTAAGCATTTTGAGTTAAAGAACGATGTAAAAATACAGTTATCACCAGTAGATCAAATGATTATATTTATTATTTATTATTTTTCATGTATGTTCGTGAATGATTTTGAATAACTGTGTTTAAATCAGTTATTAACCACTCGCTTGTTTACGTGAATAATAATCACGTAATAAATATTTTCTAATTAATTAATAACGTATGAAATAATCTGAGTGCGAAAATAAATTTCACAAAATCTCAAACGTAAAAGTAAGGAAGAACACAAAAAATCAAAGATAGAACACATTTTTATTATGTGTATGAAAGTCGAAGTACCTGCAGTGAAAGAAAAACCCTAAAGTACCTCCAACATTCTCAAACTCTTTTTGAATCTTTATATCTACTAACTCGAAAGCATCTCAACACCAAAATATGCCTGTAAAACGTAGGCAAATGAAAGCTAGGCTATATCACATTGATCACACACACACGTTGAGCCATTAAGGGACACTATAGCTATGAATTTTAAATAGTTCAAAATATACCTTTAGTTAAGTATGTTCATTGTTTTTCTAACCTCTCATGTTGGTTTTCTGCGTGTAATTAAGACATTCCTTTTCACTGTATGTGGAAAGTCGTGAAGCATATGATACTTCTCTTGGCTGGATAGGGTCGCACGAAACATGGTTGTCGCTTACAAACGTGAATAATTTTGGCCAGGTTCCAGAGGATGGGTGAACCCATTGAGCTCTCCAGGGTTTGTACAGAATCTTGTACAGATTGTTATGAGTTGATAAAATTCTCTCACTCGAATATGCTATTTTGGAATAATCAGTGATATGTATAGTAAAATGGATTATAATATACTGTACTTTTGGGTTCTCTATCTAATTTTAAAGCATAGCATGACAAAATTCCTCTGATCTTTGTCCTGTGTGGCCGAGCAGAGCCAAATAGCGTAATAAACTCTGAAGTTGAGTGTCATGATTCACATATTTTTACCACATGAAATAAAATCGTATTTCATACCTTGGGGTCGTGGATGCATTATAAAAGTGGCGTTCAAATACAATTATTTGGTTGGACAAGAGTAGCTCAAGAGTTGTTGGTGGTGGTGTTGATTAGACGCCTCCTCTCTAGTCTATAACTTGAAAATAAGGGATAGCTATCGTAGATAGCACCTGTAGCTGTGCATGAAATATAAAATACAAACAAACTTTGTCATGTGCAAACAGGAGGATAATTTATTTTGCCTTCGCTATGTGTAAGGTCTTCTGTCCATCTTTGTGCTTTTTTTGCAAAGTTCTGTTTTACCCCAGCTGTCAGTAGAGCTTAACAGAAACCCATACATTTAAGTAAGAGATATCATTCACTGTGCTATTTGTATTTCCTTTTTGTTCAATTTCGATTTATTCATTGCTTAATAACTATCTTGAAACTGTGTCTTATGATGTGTTTCAACCAACATGAGGTACCTGAATACCACAGCTTAATCAGAGAACTCAACATTTATTGCGTGCCCAAAATTGTTATTTCAGTTTATTTCGAACATGCTCTTTTCCTATTGACTCTCTGGTAGAGTAACGTTTTTCTAAATTTTGAAGTCTTAGGGAGTTATTCTCTAAGGTCACGTAGAAACTATTGGTGTGGAAGAGGTAGATAGGATTATATCTGATAATGTGGCGAGGATTAGGAGAGGCACTCTTCTGCTTCTAAAGATTTTAGGGGCACAGGTGAAAGCGATGACCACATTCTCGGCCCGTTCTCGGAGCCTTGAGGTTAATGAGAGTCTTGCTGAGTTGTCTTGCGCAATGCGGATTGTGACGATGACGTTTATTTTTATGCATTACATCATTTTGTGATGCGTATTTATGTTGCGTCATTTTGCACAAGACTACGCCGAAGAATGCACACAGTCCCTCAGCTGCACAGCAGTTGAGAAGCTGATAGCAGGGACCTGACTGCCCTTAAATTTCCTGTGTTAATGATGTTTTTTGTGAATCCTTTACGTGTATCGTTTATGTTTTTATAAAATCATTTCCGTTAATGTACATACTTATATATATTTTTATTCCGACATTCAGGGAAAACATTATTATAAAATACATCAAATCAAGGCATATTCCATGACCAGGGTTAACCTGGTATGGCTGAGACAATGCCACCATTTTACCAATATGGATTTACTCATAGAGATCCCATCTCAAGATCAGGATCAGCTAACACAGCAGCACCTACAGGGACCATTGAAAAGCTGTCATCTTGAAGTTATAGGTAAACCAGGCCCACCTCTAAGTCAAAATCGACCTATTTTACTGACAGTACCTTTAATAGCTGCTGTAGCTCTAGAAAGCATTAAATTCAGTAACGATAATTCATGAAATAGTATTAAATTAACAAATAAACTTCGGCAGTTTGTTTAGTAACTATTTCTTTAGAAAGAAATTGATAACAGTTCATTTAATAGTATTTTATTAAGAAATAAACTTACTTTGGTATTTTGTTAAGAAATAAACTTACTTTGGTATTTTGTTAAGAAATAAACTTACTTTGGTATTTTATTAAGAAATAAACTTACTTTGGTATTTTATTAAAAAATAAACTTACTTTGGTATTTTATTAAGAAATAAACTTACTTTGGTATTTTATTAAGAAATAAACTTACTTTGGTATTTTCATCAATTGTGAGTTAAAAAATAAATTGTGAGTTCACGCATCAAATTTATGTTAAGGAAGATACTACATTTTGGAAATTTGCTTAAAAGTCATGATTTATGTTTTTGGAATGAGATTTTAAGAAATTTATTATTATGTGTTAAAAGTACTTGTAAGTTACCTTGAAATATGTATAAACATTATAGTTAGTTTTGTTAGCGTCATTTAAGTACGTATCTTTATGCCAGGGGCATGTCTTTCTTCAAGAGAAACATTTAAAGAATTAGAATTACTGAACTAGGAAAACGTTTAGGTTTTGGTAAACAAATGTGAATGACATGAATAGAACAAGAAACTGTCGTCATGTCGGAATTATGAACATCAAAACAAGACTATAAACTAATCTGTAGGTCGCAATGAAAAAATGTATACTCTTCTAAATGATTAGGAAAACCTAATTTATATTCTCTTTGTCATCAACTGTGAGTGTTATTGTATATTTGTTTATTATAATTACCGAAACTATAAATCTTAAAACTGCTTTTAAACCTACAAGACTTTGTGTCGTAAATGTATTTCGGAAATTTTTAATAAGTTACTGACTGATCGGGCCCGGCATGGCCAGGTGGTTAGGACGCTCGACTCGCAATCTGAGGGTCGTGGGTTCGAATCCCCGTCACGCCAAACATGCTCGACCTTTCAGCCGTCTAGTCATCACCACCCACCGCCAACTCTTGGGCTACTCTTTTACCAACGAATAGTGGGATTGACCGTCACATTATAACGCCCCCCTACCTTCTCTCTAGTCTTACACTGCTAAATTAGGGACGGCTAGCGCAGATAGCCCTCGTGTAGCTTTGCGCGAAATTCAAAAACAAACAAACAAACAATCCTTAAACGTTAAATTAGTTGATAAAGATACTTGTAAATATATTAAAGATATTCAAAAAATTTTAAACTGGATTATGAAATACACCAGTTTATAATAAGATACGTGTAATACCTTATTCCTAGCCTTAACGAATAAATTAGATTAGTCAACTTTCCAAAGTGAAACTTTTCCATATAAATCCTGTTGGGTATTCCTAGAATAGTGAATGGCAAAATGAAAAGAAATAAAATGAAATATAAATTCAGATTTAAGAATATAATGTATCAGAAGGTTCGGGAATAAAGGAAATGAACAGAAGATAAAACAAGCTTATTCGTAAGTTGCCGTCGGCTATAAGATCTATCCTGGAACTATAAAAATGATTTAATCCTATAGAAACGTATAAGTTACCACAAGAATTACGTGTGAGAACCTTTATACACAAAACATCAGAGCGAGCTAAAAAACTGCTATAATATATTTTACTTTAGAAACTTTAAAGTAACACATGATTTAACTGGCACCTTAATATCTATTGATTGTGTACAAAAAGGAGAGAAGCCTATAATTTTTATACGGATCAGGTTAATAAAGCTTTTAGAGCAGTCATAATCCTTAATATTATTGTTTAGACTTGTTACTTAACCTCAAACATTAGCAATTCGAGGCTCAAATTAATCAACGTTATCTCTCATCGTATCCTCAGAATATTTCCTGTATTAAATTGGTTTCTGTTAATTAAAATACTCCAAACCATCAAAAAAATAAAAAGGCTTGACTTCTTTCTTTCTTTCTTTTAAAGCAAAGCTGCAAGTGATTATATGCTGTGTCTACCACGTGGAATCTAACTCCGGATTTTAGCGTTGTAAGTCCGTAAATTTACCGCTATCCCACCGGAGGACGATGGTTTGTTTGTTTTGAATTTCGCGCAAAGCTGGGCCCGGCATGACCAGGTGGTTAAGGCGCTCGACTCGTAATCTGAGGGTCGCGGGTTTGAATCCCCGTCACACCAAACGTGCTCGCCCTTTCAGACGTGAGAGCGTTATAAGTGACGGTCAATCCAACTATTCGTTGGTAAAAGAGTAGCCCAAGAGTTGGCGGTGGGTGGTGATGACTAGTTGCCCTCCCTCTAGTCTGCCACTGCTAAATTAGGGACGGCTAGCGCAGATAGCCCTCGTGTGGATTTTGCACTACCAAAAGCTTTCTGGCAAAATATATCAGAGCATTTATATGGTAAATCTTTCTGTTCTTTACAAAGGTCACGCATTTTTACAAAAAAAAAACAAAGAAAAATAATGCTGGTTTAAGTTATTAAAGAAACGATAAAATAACAACAAGTAATGAAATACGAACTTAAGCTGATAAAAGCTGCTTTCTACTTTAAATATTTTCAAACTTTACGGCCAAATAAAGTTTCAGTCGAAACTATGATGATCGATTACCTTTTTTTCATTTATCAAGGTTGCTTAAGCTGCACGATTTATATTCCATAAAAATACCTAAATGCGTTAATTACCTGGTTAATTTTCACATAGTTCATTATTATGTGTCTTTGTTTGCTTGTTTGAAGTTAAACACAAAGCAAAACAATGGGCTATCTGTGCTCTGCCCATCACGGTTATCGAAATCCGGATTCTAGCGTTGTAAGTCCGCAGTCATACTGCTGTGCCACTGGGGGGCATTGTGTGAGTCTTGTTTGTTTTTAATTATGCACAAAGCTACACAAGGGATATTTGTGCTCTGCCCACCACGGGTATCGAAACCCGGTTTCTAGCGTCGTAAGTCCGCAGACATACCGCTGTGCTACTGGGGGGGCATTGTGTGAGTCATTTAAGAAGCTAATAATTAATTCTTCAGAAATATAACATTAAATAGGAGCATTGCGTCAAGAACCAATGGTATGCACCCGAGACTATAATTTTGGAAATTGCAAACATTTTTATTTCGCGATTACTTGCTTTAAATTATAATCCATATTAATTCCGAGGAACACTTCGAATTAAAATGCAAACGAATGAAGAAAGATATTTTTTACGAATTAGAATAATAATAAATCTAATATTAAATGATTTACATATTATTTCTCTTGTTATAACTACTGGTGGCCCGAAATGGCCAGGTAGTTAAGGCA